AGCAAGCAAAAAAAGTCTGCTTCGATCTGCATTCAGAGGCCATCAGTTCTTTATCTGGATGCGGACAGCATTTTCCTTAGTGTATCCTTTGTACTTGTCTTGAGTCATTGTGTTGCTGAGAAGAGCTGAGTCATTCATAGTTGATCATCACACAATCTTACTGATACTGTGCACAATGTTTTCCTGGTTCTGTTCATTTCACTTTGCATCAGTTGGTACAAGTCTTTTCAGGTCTTTCTGAAATCATCCTGCTCAATAGTATCCCATTACATTCATATACCACAGCTTGTTCAGCCATTCCCCAATTGATGAGCATCCCTTCAACTTTCAATATTTTGCCACCACAAAAAGGGCTGCTATAAATATTTTTGCACATGTAGGTGGTCCATTCTAATTTTCAAGGAGTCGGTTGCTTGAGTAAGGTCTTGTATCTCTTGTGCCAACCTATTAATTACCTTTCCAACTCTTTCTTCCATAGCTTTCATTTTCCCCATTCTCCCCTAGCACTCTCACTTCAATTGTTTCCTCTAGTCCTCTCATATCAATTATAAAATCACTTTTAGCTCTTTAAGAAAAGAAAAACTCTAGGTTCTCCTCTTCTAGGAATTCTACTTGAGTTTATACCCAAGCTATGTTTTCCTTTTAGGCTTTGCTTGTAGATGTTTTGGAGTCTTTTTCTCCTCACTTTGTGTCTTGAGCATCCCTGTTACCAGAACTCTTTATGGTAGGATTCTTTTTTGTTTGCTCATTCTTCTATCCTTACTTCTTGACTTTGAACATTGCATTAGGGCTAGGTTTTATGTAATTCTAGAGGGAATGTCTAGGCCATGCTTGATCACGTTTTATGTCCTTAGGGGTCCTGCTGCTGCCTTCTTGGAGAATTTAATGTTGTGCTATTCCAGAATCTATGTGACAGCTTAGTCTGGTGACCTACAAGCTTTCAGTGCACCTAAAGTGTTTTGATCAGGGGAAAACTCAAGAATTGCCTTTGTATTCTGAGCTCTGCAAGTTTCTGACCTGAGTTTTGAATCCAAACAACATAACTGTGGACTTGCCTTTGGTTGGAGCTCTAGTCTGCTGGACTAGACTGCTTCTGGACTCAGCCATCATTTTGTAGTTGAAGAAACTGAGGCAAACAGAGGTTAAGTGTAAAACAGAGGTTAAGCCCAGGATCACACAACTAGTAAATGTCTGAGGTTGGACGTGAACTCAAGTCTTCCTGACTTCAGGCCCAGTGCCCTTACCACTGTGCTCCCTAGCTGCCCTATACTCCTAAGTGCAGACTGAACTAGATTTGTGACCCAGCAGTGGGAAGTCAGTGACAAGGCTTCTTGAACACGATCCTGGTTCTCTTTGATGGATCCAGGATTTCTTACCCTGGCGCACAGCAGGGGGCAGGCCTTTATTCAGTACCCTTGATGGAAAGGACCTGGGCACGATGAAATAATTCACTATGCTTTCAACAAATTCCTGATTCCGACTTGCTCTGGTGAGTTTTCTCGATCTTTGTGGAATGGTTGTAGGCAAAAGCTTGGTCGCACTTCTTCATTCCACCCTGCCGTCTTGGCTGGGCTCCAACAATCAGGGAAATAGGGCAGTTGGCCTGGGTGGGTGGGGGCCAGAGAGACATCTGTTGTTGCCAGTCATCCTAAGGATACCTCCATTAGCCACCCCCCATGTCTGTGTCCCTGTCTGTCTTTCTATACCTCTCTGTCTCTCTGTGTGGGTGCAGGCACCTTGTAAAAGTTGAGGGCAGCTCTGAAGAGTTGCCTTTATTTGAGTGTTGTTTCCTGTGTATCTGTGTTCTTCTGTGTTGTGGCTGTCCCAGGAGAAAGTCTTGGGTATTGAGTCCTGAGCCCTCTCCTAATTTCTTGGGCATGTCTGGATTTGAGGTGACAGGACCCCCAAAACTAGTAGTTGTAGGACCCTGATAATGCTAACACACAGCATGACATCTGGAGACCTGGAGGGTCCCTGGGCTACACTATTAGGAAATGACTGCCATTTGCTTCTATTTCTTCTTCAGACAAGGAGAGGTAGCCTTTGACCTCTTTGCAAGTTTCTTGGAGGGGCCTTTCCTATGCAAATGCTCCAGAGTCCGTTCTGAGTCTGAAATGCATGTCCATTCAATGGGACATCCCACCAGATCCAACCACCATCTCCACTGTGTTGGCAGGTCAGAACAATCCAGCACCAACAAGCTGTGTGACCTTTGGCAAGTCAGTATCCATCCTGGGTGTTAGTTTCCCCTTCTGGAAAATGAACAGGTCTGATTCTCTCAGGGCTCTTAAGCTGGGGTCTATCTACCCCTATCTAGAACTAAAATGCAAATGGATTTTCTCCACAGAAGCCAAAAAGGTGACAAGTCCCAGAAATCTCTGAACTCCAAAGCCCCTTCCAGTTTTAAGTCCTGTGAATGGGTTAGTTACCATAAACCAACTTGACATTTTCAGGCATTAAAGAATTCCCCTAATGACTGAAAAGAGTGAGAAGGGACATTACCGGGTCATTCCCACTTCAATTGGATCTATAGGATGACTCAATTTTCTTACTTGCAACAGGGGCGTAATTAAATAAAGCCTGTATATTGTCATCTGGGGGCAGGAAGGGACATGAGGATCACAGAATTTAAGAGCTGGGAAGGACCTTTAAGGTCATCTAGTCTAGGGCCTCGAAGCCACATGTGGCCCTCTAGGCCCTCAAGCACGGCCCTTTGACTGAATCCAAACTTCACAGGACAAATCCCCTTAACAAAAGGATTTGTTCTGTAAAACTTGAAGTCAATCAAAAAGCTGCACCTGAGGACCTAGAGGACCACATGTGGCCTAGAGGCCTAGAGGTTCCCCACCCCATCTAGTCTAAGCCCCACTTATTTACAGATGAGGAAATTGAGGCACAGAGTTGCAGTGACTTGGTCAAAGTCACACACCTCGTAAGTGTGAGAGCCACAACTCGAGCTCAGGGGTTCTCATTTGCAGATACAGGCTTCTTTTTCCTGTGCTAAGGTGCCTTTTCACTCTAACCCTATGACCCTTTCATTCATTGGTTGTGCTACCTCTTCCACTCCTGGTCCGTCCAGTCAGCTCTTTGGATCTGGCCTTCCACCGTCCCTCATGGGCTCAAGGGGAAGTCTGACTTCAGTGTGTTTGTTGCCTTCTTGTGTTTGGTGTAATGTTAAAGATTCTGCCAGCTGTGGATTCTCCAGCTGCACATCTGGAACTCTTGGCTGACTTGTTGAACTCCCTCCCAGGGATTTCTCTAGGGAGTGGGGAGGTGTATTAAGGCTAGAACAGCTGCCTGCAAATGAAGGCTCCAGAGTCCCCAGGCCGCTCTCCCCTCCCCACCCCCAAGCTCCACCCTGGCCATCAGGTTTCCCCATTTGTTCACCGAAGGGATACTTTAGCTCTTGTCAGGAGAAAAGATTCAATTGTCCTTGAGCTTTAGAGCTCAGCGGGACTTTAGAACGTGGAACACAGAACGCCGCAGCTCAGGAAAGACCCCAGAACCTAAACTGTCCCAGGTGGGGGAGGGCCTCGGAGACCTTAATTATCCCAAACTCTTCACTTCACAATGAGGAAATGGGAGGGGGTGTGGTGGGGAGTCACTCGTTCGGGCTTACTTACATAGCTAGCTAGTGCCAGAGACAGAACGAAAACCCAGATTTCCTGATCGCTCAAGCCAGTATTCTCACATCATATTCAAAGAACTCTACTGCCCCTCCCCTTCAAGAACCTTAGTAAGTGGTTATCGAATGAATGAACGGCTAGCTCAGTCCCCTCGGGCTGGCCCCATGACCGGGTCTCTTGCTCCAACTTCTCTGTCAGACTCTGTCTTCCCTCACCCCTACCCCTAGCCCTTCTCAGACCCCTCGGGCTGGCCCCAAGACTGGGTCTCTTGTGTTCCCTCCTCCTCTGTCTGTGGCTGTCCCCCCTTCCCCCCCTCCCCCACTCCCCCTTTGGCTCCCAGGCCGTGGCTGCTCCCGGGATTCCTGTCCCGGCTTCGTCGGTGCGCCAGCTGCCTGCGGCTTGGACCTCGGCCCTGGCTGGCAGGTTTCATTCCAAAGCCATAACTGTTTTAATTACTTGGTCTGTGAGACCCCTAGAAGGGAGAAAGCGACCGAGAAGGACCGCGCTGGGTTAGGTGGGGGCACTGGGAGGTGGCCAGCAAACTTTTCTCCGCCCAGAGCTCGTTTTCCACCAGGTTCAGTTCCACAAGCACTTAGTTGGCGCCTGCTGTGCGCAGGGAAGGCACTGAGCGTGGAGTGGAATCGAGTTGGGATCCGGCTCCCTGTGTTCCCTTCGAGACCGAAACAGGCACCGGACGAGAGCTCGCCTTTCCAGAGCGCCACTCGTACGGTTAGCCTCCCCCCCCCGGCAGGCGCCCAAGGGTTAACTGGAGGCGGAGTCCAGAGCTGAAAGGCAGCCGCTCCCGCCAACGGGAACGGGAAAAGCGGGAAGCTGGGGGAGGAGCGAGCGGTCTGGGGCGGGGCCGCACGCGGTCCGGCCCCGCCCCCTGAGCGAGGGGCCGGGGTGGAGTCGTGGGGGTGGGGTGGGGCGCGGGGCGCCGGGCGCCGGCAGGCGGCGCTGATTGGGTGGTGGAGCCGTCCCTCCGCGGTCACGGGGCGGGGCCAGACCGCGCCCCCGCCTCCCTCTGCCCGCCCGCCCGCCCGCCCCCCCGTCCGCGGAGTGGGGCCGCACACGCGGCTGCTCCCCACTCCGGCCCGCCCAGCCGCCGCCTCCGCCTCGGCCGTCTGTCCGTCTGTCCGGCCGTCTGTCCGTCCGGCCGTCGGTGCGTGTGTGCGTCCGAGGTGCAGCGGCCGCGGGTGCCCCGAGCCCCCGGCCCATGGCCGCTCGGTAGACGCTCCTGACAGGGCTCCTTCCGAGAGTGCCGGCCCAAGCAGCAGACGCGGCGGCGCGAGGCCCGCGGGCCTCCCGGGCGGACGAACGGGCGTGCGTGCGTGCGTGCGTGCCAGAGAGTGCGGGAGGCCCCCCCCGGAGGCCATGGGTTTCGCCCAAGAGGCGGCAGCGGCGCGCGGGGAATCCGGGCCAATCGCCGGGCCGGTCACCGGGCCGGGCCGCCGCCGGGCCAGCCAGCGGGGCTGCGGCTGTCGCCGGGGTCCGGCTTCGGCGGGCGCCGGGAGCAGCTGCCGCCTCTTCCTGGCTTTCTTCACGCTGTCGCTGGCCCTCCACCTGCTGACGCTCTGCTGCTACCTGGAGCTGCGCTCTGAGCTGCGGCGAGAGCTTGCAGCCGAGGCCCGCCGCGCCCCCGTCCCCGCCGGGCCGCCCGCCGGGACCCCCGACGCTACCATTGATGCCTCCCGGGACGCCTTGGCCGCCCGTCGCCGCCGCCAACGCGGGCAGCTGCCACCTCTACTCCAAGAGCAGCAGCAACTGTTGCCACCGCCCAAACCCGAGCCCAGGGACACGGCGCTTCTCCCCGGCCCTGGGGACCCGCAGCAGGTGAGTCACCCCTCCTGCCGGGCGGCCCAAGGAGGGGGGGAAGGAGGGTACACCTGCTCCCCTGCGGTACTGATCGCCTGTCACCCTCTGCCGCGGTAACCGGGAATGTCACTAAGTAACTAGCAAAACTCATTCAGTTTGAAAGTAACTCACCAAGTCAGTCACAAAGTTACAAAGTAACTGGCAAAGTTCCTTACAAAGTTACTCACAAAGTAATTGGCAAAGTAACTGGCGAAGTAACTTAAGGAAGATGGTCACAAAGTAACTGGCAAAGTAACCTACAAAGTTGGTCACAAAGTAAGTCACGAGGTAATTCACCAAGTCACAAAGTAACTGGAAAAGTAATTCCCCGAGTCAGTCGCCAAGTAAGCTAAGTAACTGGCAAGGTAACTCACCGAAGTCAGCCACAGAGGACCTGGGAAAGAAATTCGTTAAGTTTTAGTCAAACACGACCTGGCAAGGTAGCTAAGTCAGTCAAAGTATTAAGCCAGTTGCAAGCCAAATGGCAGTCGTTGCACTAACCAGGGAGTGGAGGCAGGCCCCTTGGGGGGACTGCATCTTCATGCCTCAGGGTGACTACTACCTCTCAGCAGCTTACAAGGCTGCCAGCAGCAACCAGCTGCCAACAGCTCAAGTGAGTGCCGTGTGCCCCAGGGAAGTAACTCTTTAACCAACTCCGTGTCAGACCATGTGAGATGATTTGGTTTTTACCTGCAATTTGAGATCCATACCAGCTGGGTCATTCCTTGGGAAGGGCTCACTACCTCCAGGCTATTTAAAAAGTCTGGGGAAACACTCCCTTTCCACCTTGTTGCATGTTGCCTCCGTCCCTGGGGGCTGAGGATGGGGAGGGAGGAGTGTCCAGTAGCCACATGCTGAAGAAATGAGATCTCCCCAGAGGAGCCAGAGGCAGCCTAACAAGAGACTGTATTATGTGTGTATGAACTTTCCGGTGGTTTGGTTTCTTTGAATCGGTCAACTTTTACTTTTTTTCTCCTCTCATAGTTAACCCTTTGAGGGTACACTGAGAGCCATTCTATTTGAGATTGAATTGTTTGTAAAGTGTAATGAATGCATTGAAATGGCTTTCTGGCTTGATCACAGAACAGTCACAGTCAGTCATATGTTTTTATCGCTCGGGAAGCAGAGGGCAGCCGGGGTCAATCATGTGCTTGAAGGCCAAGGGTGAGTCTGGCATTCTCTCTGAAATATAAGAACTCAGTAGCTTACTGTGCAGTAAGGGTGCAGGGGGGCATGCATTCACAGGGCTGTAGAATTGGGCATTACTATTGAGGAAAACTGAATATTGCTGAACCTTCTCTGGTTTAGATTTTGTTACTTCCAGGCTTCTCTTGCTTTGCTAGCAGGCTCTGACTTATAGAAGAGGGCTGATCAAAGAAGATGCAGGCAAAGTGAGCTTCCTAAGCTCGCAACTTTACGTTCTGTAGCAAAATGATAATTAAGTGAGATTTTGGCTCCTTTCAATAACTTTCTCCCCACCCCTTCAATCTTGTTCTCTCCTTCCTCAGTAGAAATACTTTGCAATTGGACCCTAATGGAAAAGTAAAGGAATTCAGTATCCTTTTTTGGCATTCAATATATAGGTGGTCCCATGTTTATAGTCTGTTGATTAACAGAATGTCTGAACCTCTGAGGCTTCTGTTCTTGGGGGAAAGAGGCTAGGAGTGACCTCTAATGGGGTTTGGGGCACCTATTCTCCTAGAACATTTCATACGGTCCCGCCTAAGTTTTAAACCTCTACCTTCCTATCAGGCCTGAAACTATGCTGTCTTTCTTACTACATTTGGGCTGTAGACACATTAGTACCTTATTTTTCTCTTGCCCCTAGTCAGGGTCAGAGAGAGGATCTTGTTAGCTGGACTGATTCAACTTCATCTTTCCTATTTTCCTTGAATCTTTGAAGCTTTCGGGAAAAGTCAGGCAGTTTTAAAAGTGGCTTTAGCTTAGGTGAACTTCTGCATATCTCGAAGGCAATGGTTTGAGTCTTCTTCGGTGAGTGTCCAAATTGAGCCATTTCTAATCAAATGGCTCCTGTGGAGTTCTGGGTCAAGTTTCTGGTGCTCTAGGGCATCCTCTGCTGGCTGGGCTGGGATATATAATTATAGTATATGCTGACAGATGTGGATGCATAAGTAGGGAAGTTAATAGCTTTTCGGGTTCTGGCCATGTAGGTCAGATTTTTGTATTTTATTTTTCAAAACAAACAGCTGCTGTGGCAGCAGTGGCTCTTGGGAGAGATGAGAAATGTGTATACTCCAGTGTGCCATGTGCTCTCCATCAGACCATCTATAAGTAGCAAAGCCAAACAAATGAGAGAGAAACTCCTAGAAAATCTCGTGAAGACATGAATGGACTGAATAGTGTCAAACCAGCTACTGGGTATAATAAGATAATAGACTTAAGCATCACGGGCTTAGAGCTAGAAGAGGCCCCCCCCCCCCCTCATTTGATAGAGGAAGAAACTGAAGCTCAGAGAGGGTAATTGACTTTCCTAAAGTCTCACAGGTAATAAGGATAGAGTTGAGATTCAAATTCAGATACTGTGATTCCAAATCCAGAAATTTTTCCCCAACAACATGCTTTCAAACTCCACATAAGATGATTGCCTCTGAGTTCTTGGCTGCAACCCAGGCTTTAGGAGCTATCGTAGGCTGTTGTCTGAAGCTCCTGGCCCAGTGTCCTGCTGGGCCCCAAAGACCAAGAATACAGGCAGTGAGGGGAAAGCAGGAAACACGATCTTCCCCTGGTACAAAGCTGGGGGAGGGGGAGGGGGAGGGTACCACAGGTGCTTCTGGTAGTTAATGCCCTTCCAGTAAGACACAAAGCTGGAGATGTTCCCAAAGAACATGACTAAATGGCTGGGGCCTGGGAGGGGTTGGAGAATTTTTAGTATGAGGAGAGACTACAAAGCCCTGAGTGATCTTGGCTCCAAGGACACGTGAGTGGCTCTGAACTCACGCAGCATATAGGATGAGTGGCTCGCTGGGACTCAGGTTAGGAGAGACCTCTTGAAACTTGTGGGACAAATGTATTTTACCTTTAACATCTCATTACCCCAAGAAGTGGGACAGATAGAGATGGGATGGATAAGTTTGTAGAAAGATTGGATGGATGACTTAATGACCTGGCAAAGAATTTCAGAAAGTGGGGGCAGTATGGAGCATGTTTCTTACCTTTGCACACGATAAGCCTGTGTAGCTACCTCTTCTTACAAAATGTCCCTTGATTGCAACTGCTAGACAAGATGCTGGGCTAGGTGGCCCCTTGATCTGACCCAATATGGCACCCCCTATGTACCTCCCTTAAGTATGGTTGGGGTGGATGAATAAGGTCACTTAGTTAACAAGCATTTGTTAAACACTTACTGTGTGCCAGGTACTGTGCTAAACACTGGAGGTACAAAGAAAGGCAATAGATAGTCCCGTCCCTAGAGGAGTTTACAGTCTAACGGGGTAGACATGTTAACAACTATATACAGACAAGATTTATGAAAGATAAATAGGAAATAATCAACAGAAGGAAGGCATTCGAATTAAGATGGATTGGGAAAGGCTTCCTGTACGAGGAGGGATTTTAGCTGGGACATGAAGGCAGCTGGGGAGTCAGGAGGCAGAGATGGGGAGAGGAGGGCATTCCAGGCATGGGGGATGGTAACAGCTAGTGAAAATGCCCAGAGTCGGGAGATGGAGGGTCTTGTTGTGGAACAGCCCAGACACCAGCGTCACTGAATCGAAGAGTATGTGTCAGACAGTAAAGTATAAGAAAACTGGGAAGGTAGGAGGGGGCAGGGTATGAAGGGCTTTGAATGCCAGACAGAGCATTTTGTATTTGATTCTGGAGGCCATAGGAAACCATTAGAGTTTATTGAATAGGGGAATGATATGGTCAGACCTGAGCTTTAGGAAGATAGCTTTGATAGCCAAGTCAAGGGTAGATTGGAGTGGGGACAGCTCGGAGGCAGGCAGACCCCCCCCCCCCCCCCCCCCCCTGCCCTAATATAGGGGGGGGGGAGCGCCGGCCCCGCACCCGGGGGGGGGCGGGGGAGAGGGGGAGAGGGGGAGG